CCTGGTCCATTGTTGATTACTCACCAGCTATCTATAATGATCTGACTATTTGCTGCTGTCATTCATGGAGTTATAGTTACGCATCTTGCCCATAAGACATACTCGTACATAAGTCAATTACCGGGCATTTGTGTTCACTGGGCTGGGATAATTAGTTATGGCCATAGTTACCACTTCAATTGAATTAAAGTGCAGAATGATGATTTCCCCTTAAATAGCCCAGCTAAATTTAATTTGACCTGTTGACAAGGACAACCTCAGCTCAGTTTACTGACTTTACTGCTTGAATTTACCTGGATAGAGAACAGGTTTCTGGCCTAATGAGCTGGCATAAATCAGGCAACGTGTTCGCCCATCTGATAATCGTCAAATAATATTCAGACAGGGCTTCTGTTATCTGTTTTTGTGAGACAGTTTGTTGTTCGGGGATTAAAGGAAGGTTTCCAGGAAGTAACCAAATCGCTCTACAATTACACACGCCCAGAATGTGTGTGTGTGTGTTGTTGCTCCCGAATCCCTGGGACAACATGAGACACTTTTGCGAACAAAACACCGCTGGCAAAGGAGATGGAAGACAAGCTGGGGCTTGGGTAGAGAAATAAGCAGACGACGACGACGACGAGAAGAGTTATTTTGTATGGAAAGTATCGCATATCAGCAGACGACAAGGACAAGGACAGCGCCGAGAGGCAGGACGAGAGAGTCCCTGTCCTGTCCTTTCTGTTTGGATGTAATGTAGCGCCGCATTGCCCCTCTGCCCCTACTGCAAGACGCATTTATTGAAGATTTACAGCGGCAACTTGCAGACAAACAACAGCAGCAACATTCGCTGCGCCTTTTGGCATTCTAGCAAGTTGCATATTTTCCACGTCCTTTGTTTTTTCTGCTTTCCTTTTTTCTGTTTTCCATTTGCCGTTGGCTACGTAATTTCATTTGCATTGGCAGGGAGGTGGGAAAATGCGTGACTGCGAAGGGGAGGGGCTTTCTGAAAGAAGGCACAAACTTTTGCCGTTATGTCCGCAACAGGAAGGCAGCAAGCAAACACATCGAGCAAATGCTTTAAGTATGCTTACCATTTTGTATTTGGCTGAATTGTGCATTCTGCATTTTGAATCCTCACAAACGGCAAACTGAAAACTGCAAACTGCAAACTGCATCCTGACTGCATTTGCCTGCCGCTGACGCACGTACGAAGGACACCGGGGAGCCTGAGCACAAGGACGACACACGTCACGGCAAAAGTTAAAAGTTTGCCATCAATGTTTGCATTTCAAGTTTCACTCCTGGCTGGTTGGCTTGTTGGCTCCCTGGCTGGCAGTTCATTTTGCACAGCGCACAGACGTCCTTGACAGGATGACAGGGATCCTGGATTGCGGACCAGCTGCAGGTTGCATTGCTACTTCCAGTACTTTCCGCCACTACTTTAAATGAAAATTTAATTTACCTCTTATGCGAACGTTTTAAGCACACGGCTAATGAAAACTCCGAGTGGCTGGCCTTAAAGCTCAAGAATCCGATTTTAGTTGGCAAAAACTTTTGCCGTAGCTCAAAGACAAGCAGCTGGCTGCTGCATTTATAGATAAAAGTTTCTCAAGAACATAGGTAGAGTCTCTTTTGGCAGTGCTATAAAGAGTAAAAGCAAGCCATATTCAAAAATGTGATTCAAATTAAATTACCATCTTGGGTTTAAATGGAAAAGTTCCAGTTCCAGGACTTTCCAGCTTAAAGAGTTGCAAGTTACTCCCATTAAGCCATTTCAACTTTAAGAGAACTTTATTGGATTTTTTGGTTTACCTTTCCTGGCTGGTAAAATCAATTTTGGGGATACCCCTTTTTCCATTGGACAACCAATCAACCATCCATTCAAATCGAGCCCAAAAGATTTATCCTTTCAGTGAAAAATCAATTGAGCTTTGACCACAAACTGAACGGAGCCAACTCTTTGAACCCCTTATTGCCAGAGCGCTGGCCTGCTGTTTTTCAGTCTAGAGCTCTCCGGCAAGTTGGCAAATTAGATGAATCTCTGGGAGAATGAACAAGCCCCAAGTGTGGCGGGAAAGTTAGTTGATGCTGCAGCCAGCGAAACTTCAATTCCCCGATCAGGTGCAGACCCATTTGGTTGCTTGTCCTGGGAGATATGGAGATGGTGTATGTAGTCCTTTCCTAGTCCTTGCTAGTCTTGCCCCATCCCTGACTCTCCCTCTCCCAGGATGTTTGCCAACTTGTTTAGCTTTAGCTGTTTGTTGTACGTGTTGTCGTGGTGTTGTACGCACGTAAACGATGCCAAGTCGAGTATTTATTACGCTCACAACTTGACATAATTCCCTTTTTTTATGCCCTTCGAGCGGGTGGTAAGCTGATGCTGCAGTTGAACTAATGCCATCGATATAGATTTATAACCCAGCTGGCACGTATGTGCGAGTACGTTCAATTGCCTGTCCTGATGATGATGATGATCAGCAACTTCATCATCGTCAAGGGAAAACGGGAAAATACATTGAAGGCGACAGGCGACTGCCATCAAAGAAAAAAACAAGTTGTGACTTAACAACTTCATCAGCTGGCAGCGCACTTAGTTTGCCTGACAGCCTATATATATAAGCGGGTATATATATCTACATATATATATATATATATATTCTGAATAAGATTTCTTAGCGCATTAGGCAGCAGTATCAACAGGAGCGGCAAGAACAACAAATAAATGCCATTAGCAGCCAACAAACTGTAAGCCAAAATGGCGCCATCAACGCGAAAATAATACGGAAAATGCGGCGTTAATGGCAACGATGAAAGTGGGTGGTGGAAATCCGTATTATGAAGAGAGAGAGAGAGAGAAAGATAATGAGAGAGAGAGACACCCATGTGAAGGCAAACGATGTTATGATTATGATTATTATGTTGCTATTAGATTAAGAGCAATTTTAACTTTTTCCGCTCTCACACAAAAGGCCTTCCGTTCGCCCTTTTACCCAGGACTTTCCCGATTTTCCGTCCTTTTGCTTTTCTTCTTCTTCTTCTTTTTTCGTGCGTCAACGCTTTCCGTTTGGCTTTGGCTTACGACACTTGACGCTCAAGTCCCCCACTCCCGCTCCTCCCCTCACCTATCTATCCTTCTATGTAACTTCCAACTTTCGTACAGCCCCCTCCGTCGGGCGGAGTTACTCTTTCATTGTTTCTAGCCCGGGTCTTAGCCACGCTTAATTGGTTGGCTTTTATTACTTGGCAAGTGCTGCAAGCGCATAATTTGCGACTACCACGAACAGTGGGCCGCCAACTTCAAGATTAGGCAAATTTCATGGATGGCTTAGCGTGGCACTTCTGGGGCTTTCTTGGCAGATCTATTGATTAGCTTAAGGCTATAATGAAGAAGCTCGATAAAAATTTGATTATCTACTTGCTTCTTTTTTTCAGTTTGAAGGTTTCAGCTTAACTTTCTTTAAAGGTTCCATAAAAATGTATTAAGTAATCATTAGGGTATAGGTTATAGGTTTTTATATTAGTAAGTCATTCATAAAGTATTAATAAAAGTTTCTAAAAATTGATTAAATAATCATTAGACTTTCACAAATGACTGGAGGGTTTTAAGTACTAAGTTTTCTGTACTTATATTTGACTTTCTATATCATAATCATTTTGATCTTATATCCTAAGTTCTTGGATATTTAATATTTATTAATATCTTTAAGGGCAATTCATATTTAACCAACTTCCACTAGGTAATCTCCAAGTTCTCCACATTCTCAAAGTGCCTCCAAGAACCTTTACTTTTCCTTTAAAGATTCCCCATTAGTCTGGGCTATTTCACCTTTTTTATTTGCCTCCAAACTTCCCTGTTTCTGGGTGCGTGAACTGAGAAATCTTTTTTTAATTAAATAAGCATCCGAAGATTAGGAGAAAGGGGCGGCACCTTGGCCGGAGTCATGCTGACTGCCTCACTTTGCACCTACATTTCCAAGCCCTCGCCACCACCGCCCAACACCACGCCCAAGCCACCCACCAACAGGGCAAGCGCGTGCCTTTGGTAGTTTGCGGCGCCATTTTAGCGCGAAATGAATTTAAATTGTTTGCCGGCGTTTCCTGCATTAAGGGCAGCTTCCTCTTCGACGACCCTGCTACTTGGTGGGGAGAAGAAAGGAGAAAGGGAAGCTCCTCCTTTGCCAGCAAAGAAGTAGAAAAACGAAATTACTTAATTACAACAATTATTATATGGAACGGTCCTAAAACTTCTCTTGAATCAAAGCGGAGATGGGGTTTCCTTCTGCCGCCCTGCTGTTGTTGTTTCTGTTGTCTGTTAATTTAATTAAATATTTTCACACCTTCCGACTGATACATTGGACCATACAAAAGCCCTTTCTGGGGCCTTTGTCTTGGAATTTTAGGTGTTAATTTCCTGCCCCGTGTAGATGCAAAAACAACAAAAGTGCACCGAGTCGGCTCTAATAAAAATAATTGCCATGGGCAGACTGGCAGCAGCAGCAGCAGCAGAGCAGGAACGGCAGTGGAAAATTACAAGACACGAAGGACCTCGGCTCGGTGTTTTATGCCATGGAAAATTGCATGCGAAATAATTGAAAAGCATCGACTGCAGCTTTGTCCTGCTGCTCCTTGGCTTTTTCCCGGGCTTTCCTTTTGGGTAGATAAAGTTTCCTCGCAGCACCGAAATAATAGCAGCCAAAGTGGTTGTAAATATTTTGTGCCAGCCATTCGCCAGCGGCGGCGGCAGCAGCGGCAGATTCTCTGCCCGCAGCGTGACAAAATGCTGCGAAAAGTCATTTTTCAGCTAAATGAATTTGCGCCAACTGCGCAAAAAACAACGCCCAAAAAAAAAGTGATTCAAGGGGGGGGAAAACTCCTCCCATTCGAAGGACAGAAAAAGATGTGTCCCAAGGAAATGGCTTCTGTATCCTGTGGGTCAGCGGCAAGTTCAATGGGCAACTAATGAGGCGACCTTAAGATGGCTTTTTCACAAAACTAACTCTCGAAACTTTCCATTGCAGGTCCTCCAGGTCCGCCCGGTCCACCGGGAAAACGAGGGAAGCGCGGCAAGAAAGGAGATGGCGGCGAAAAGGGCGATCCGGTAAGTGGCAGCTTGAAAACGGAAATAAAGTCCATATGCTGAGGATACTTCCGAATGGGAAGAGCTCTCTTGATTTATAGTATTTTAGGAAAATTAGGAAATAGTAAAATGTATTAATATTTAAGAAAATATTTAAACCCATAAACATTCTCCATTTAGGGCCTTAATGGCATCAGTGGGGAGAAGGGCGCTGCGGGCAAGCCCGGAGACAAGGGCCAGAAGGGCGATGTCGGCCACCCCGGCATGGATGTCTTCCAAACGGTGAAGGTAAGTCCTCTGCCCAGTTCCTGTCTACCACTACCACCAAAAAAGAAAAGAATCCGCTAAGGCTGCTGCAATTCTTGGCTGCAAATTAAATAGAGTCTAACAGGATCCAAATTGCTTTGCATTCCTAGGGTCTGAAGAGATCGGTGACAACGCTGCATGGCGGCACGCTGGGCTATGCGGAGATAGTTGCTGTTAAGGTATTGCCACCAACCGGTCATCAACCAAACTCTTTACCACTTTCTATTCGTTATTCGTTAGACGTAGACATGGTCAAGACCATTATTCAGGGGCCAAATGCAGATGGCCAAGAGGAGAGCAATGGCTGTGGCACAGCCAGAAAATACAACAAATTATTCGCAACTTGTTGTCCTTGGCTCGGTCTTTTGGTCTCTGGATTTGTCCTTTTGGTCCAGTCGTCCTCGTAGTTCTTGTAGTTGTACTCGTAGTCCTTTCCCCTTACTTAGTTGTGTTTTGTAGTTGTGTTTATTGTCTTCCTTCATTCTCGTTTGTAATGCTTTTAAGTTGTCTCCTGTCTGTCCTGTTGTCCTGTTGTCCTGCTGCCTTGGCTCTTTTGTTTAAACAGCGCCATAAATTCGTTGCAACATCGTAGTTTCGGTTGGGTTTTCCCCTTTTCCCCTCTTCCCTTTTCCTTTCCTTTTGGCAGTGGCAACTTTTCGGACAGATCCCCTTTGCCAGTTTCTAATGGAATTTCCATACTATTTGCTCCCCAGCTTTTGAGTTACCCTTTAAGAATTAATTTCATTTGGTTTATTTGCTTTTAATTTGGCTAATCTCCCCCTCGCTTTGCAGCAGCTTAAAAGACTAACATTATTTTTATGATGATTTATCAACTTTTTAAACTTTTGTTTTTGAATTTAACCCAATTTTTTACTTATATTTTTATGTTACATTTTAAACTTGTTCTTTTGGTTTGTTATTGTTGTTGTTGATGCTGTAAGGACTTGCAAGAAGCAGGCGTCAATGTATCCGCTTCCACAGTCATACAGCTGAAGGTGAGTTGTCTTGAGTATCTTTTGTCCCAGCATGTCCTGTGTTTAGTTTATGTCCTGCACGTGCCCCCTGACTTCGGTGAACTCCATAGGAGATCCTCGGCTAATAAACATGTTTCCTTGTCCGCACAGGGAGAACCTGGTGAGCCTGGTCCGCCAGGACCTCCGGGCGAAGCGGGCCAACCTGGTGTGCCTGGGGAGCGTGGACCACCGGGCGAAACCGGAGCGCAGGGCCTGCAAGGCGAGGCCGGACAGCCAGGAGTCGCAGGACCGCCCGGCGTGGCCGGCGCACCTGGCACGAAGGTGAGTTTTTGCCGGTGATTCAACGAAAAAACCCATTAACAACCAAAAGAAAATAAGGAAAAGCCAAACAAAGGAGCTGATAAGAACGCACCCAAAACTCACACACGCACACGCACACCCCGATGTGAGAATAAAGAAAATCTGGGGAGGAAGATGTCACCAGGATTAATGCATTATTTGTATCTGTTGGATAAACACGGCGACGGTTTAAGTGACTGCCAGTGATTCGCTGTCATCCTGTCGGGTCGTCCTCTTTTGTTCTCCTGACTTTCCCATTTTCTTTATAGCTTGCCCGCGTGCGGGTGTCGAGTTTTTCCACAGTATTTATCGTTTATTTATGCATTAAGGCTGACTCTGGGTTTTCCACTTAATTTTCACAATGACTCACTCTCACCCTGCCTTTTCCAGGGCGACAAGGGCGATCGAGGCGATCGCGGACTAACCACAACCATCAAGGGTGACGAGTTCCCCACAGGCATCATCGAGGGTCCGCCGGGACCGGCTGGACCACCTGGTAAGTGCCAGATGATTCTTCCGCGTGTGTTTGTTTGTGCTTGCATCATCCCACAGCCACTTAACGCATTCGGCTAATACAGATACATAGATACACAGATTTAGATACAAAAACAGATACTTTTTGTGCAGTTTGGGCATCGATCCATCGATGAGTTTTTCAAGTGTTGCCATGCGGCTGCGGGTCGCCTAATTTATTGTCGCTCTGAGTGCTGGGAAATGCTCTCCGAGCTCACATAAGAGGAGACCCACTGCCACCATCCTCATCTAATTGAGTCATTCACTGACTGTGTGTCCCATTAGTTTGGCCTTTAATTTTTGGGCCTTTTTATTTTTGGTCCGCTCGGTTGGCTCGTTTAAATGGAAATCAGAGTGGAACCGCTCGCGCTTTTCACACACATTTTCTGAATTTTTATTGGCTTACACATATTTTAAATATTTTATTCGATACCTCTCTGTCATATTTGGGAATTTTCAAATTTCATTTTCCTCTGCCGCCGCCGAATATTGCGATAACTTTTACGACCTTTGCTGTTTGCCTAGTTCGGACTTCAACGTCAATTAAATGCGCATACAGAGTTGGGAGTCCGCCCTCATCCCGTGCCACGCCCCATTGAGTGGGTGGACTGCCCACAACAACAATGGAATTTCGATTCGATTCGTTTTTATGGGCCGTCCCCCGAAAACACATTTCTGCACTTTATACGAATTTAATACACGAAAATAGCCCCAAAAAACATGCAGTTCCAGAAAAATAGTAGAAAACGCCGGAAAATCAAATACAAATCTAGTGATTCTCATAAAAATTTGTAGACCCCATAGAACTTGTGGCACTGAACTGAGGGGCGGGAGTCGTAAAGATGCAACTTTATGTCATTTATGTTGCTTTTAGCGGCTCATTAGCATGACTACCTACCATCGAGTTGGAGTACAACAATATGGGCTGCGATGGGATGGGTTAGGTTGTGGGATGTTTGGGGATGGTTAGACCCCGGGACCTCAGTGGGACAGCTTGTACTATTGTTTTATTAGGGGCACTCAGTGGCCGCAATAAATAAGCAATCGCACGAGCTCAGACTGATGGCTATAGTAGATGGATTGATGGCCCATAAAAGTCCGTTGGATGACACTGGAAATTTCTTTAACCAATTTGATGGATTGCGGATTAATGGTGTTGATGATCCGAGGTTCTCAGCTTTAGGCGGAGAATAGAATTTTAATTTAATTTTCGGTTCTGGTTCTGGTAATTTTGGTCTTTTTATGGTTCAGAGATACGCCCACTTGGAATTACATTTAACACAACATTGAATGTCCATTAAATAGGCTTTAAAATTTGTGTTGTTCGAGGGAAGTTAGGGTATACAAATGTCTGTTTTATTACTTTTAAATGATGGAAGGGTGTTTAATTATTAGAAAAGGTTTTTCGAACAAATAATAGGTTTTTTTATATAGAAGTATATGCAGTGAGACTATGATTTTATTTGAATGTAACGGCCCTTGTGTGCCTCTCGTTTCTAGTTGAATGTCTCGTTTCTAAGCTGTACGTTTCTAGTTGGTTTGCAATTCGTTACTTTCTCATGTTATGTTAGTACGAAAACAAACCGATAGGTTTTAACGAGATGTAAAGAGTAAGTGTGACAAAGCTAAATATTGCTGTAAATGGTCCCTTGAGCTTTTAGTAAATGAGAGTAAATAAGATGGCGATAGTCATACAGGCGAATTGCATACCTAAATTACTCGTCACAGAAATATACAGCAAAGACAAGAAAAAGTAAATTTTCACCAATAATTTTTGATTTGACATGACAGAGTAATCAGACATTTAAAGCTTTCAATATTACATTAAAATCACAATAAATTATTTATTAAATATAATGATTAAAGTACCTTTTATTTTCATTCTTAAAGTTCTCCCTGATTGAGTACCCCTAGTGCATTTGAGCGTTCGTTAGGCCAGCCAGCAACGCCATCAATTAAGCGCTTTGCTGCGGTTTGTGCAGCCCGCATCATTACGATGGTACACGCCCCTTCCCCCTCTTTGTGTGCAGCAGAAGCCCTGCCCTTCATTCGCCGCCTCTTGACTTATCAGTGCCTGGGATCAAAGTGCTTCGATGTCGCAATGGCATTTCGATGTGATTGCGATGCTGCCTGGCCATTGTTTCTGGATTTCCTTTCCTTGATTTCAGTCAGTACTTTCAGTACAAGATCTGAGCCAGCGATATCTGTCGTCGGTTGCAGTTGCAGTTGCCGTTGCACTAATGCCTGCATTCGATTACTTCCGCTGAGGCCGTAGGCCGAACTGGCCCCCAAACCCACACTTTTCCCTGGTGCGTTGATGGACATGAAATTGCAATTTATTCTTACCCGAAATTCAGCGACATGAACCGGAGCAACCCAGGGGACATTCCTTGGGGCTTGATTTGAATAAATGGAACGTCATTTGTATCCGGGATTCCCTGCGTCTGGTCTGGACATCTTGGCTTTACTGGGCTTATCTTATCGGCTGCGTAATTAGTTAAGCTTTCATTCTGTATACGGAAAACGAGTATATGTGTGTGGGCTTGACAGAGCCCTGAGCAATTGGTTGTGTCGTTTTCAGGCGGAAAATGCCGGTCCGGCAGAGTTCTAGAAAATCTCAGCAGCAAAGCTGGGTGAAAAACAATGGCAGTCCCAGCTGTAATATCAAAAAATTCAATTTATTTCATGATTTATTTGAATTTCATTTCATTTGGTTTTTGGTTGATTGCATTGCGTCTTCGGGCAGCTTCCGTTCTATGAAATTAAAACTTATCTCGGCCATTTCATCTGCCAGCCAGCCAGTACGAAAATAAACACTAAGCTGCCTGACCATCGCTCGGCAATCCAATATCCTGGACACTATAAATCCACAATCCTCTTTGGACCCTTTCGCCTTTCCCTCCTTCTCTGCTAGCCATAGTTTTCCTCTATCTTTTTTTTTTGTATAGTGTTTTTGCAATTGTCGCCTAAAATGCTTAACGGTGAATTATGCATACATAAATAGAAAATGGAAAATAGAAAAGCCCAGAATCCACAGACAATAGAGTTCTGTGCGGACAAATGCTTTATAAACAAATGGGAGGCGACATCGGAGGATCTATCGCTCTGTGGCAGGGCCGGGAAAATTTATGCTCTCCGAAAAGGGACGAGGTCCTTTTGCGTATAACGCAATTTTACGAACTTAATAAATTCACTATATCTTTTTTGGTCCTGGCCCATTTTGACAAGCCCCGCAATTGGATTTATCTATGATATGAGCCAGTCCAGTCCCCTCCCCCTGCGTTGTTCGTTGTTTGTTGGCTGTGCAAATGGTCTCGTTTAATGGCCATGGCAAACAACCCAAATACGAAAATAACAACAACAAGAACAGAAAAAAAACGCAATTTCTCATTATTCTAACTAAACAGGTTGGCCGTCGACCGCACAGTGGGCCAAAGTCAATTTGCCGCTGATGGATTTATGAGCCACTTTTACACGGCATCGCACGGCTTAGGAACAAAGCAGGCAAATTGAGTGAAGAGCCAGCGTTTACCAGGAGACGGTGGTCTCATGATGCTGATGAGCTTAAATTGGATTTACTGCCAGCAGATGGTTAAAGTATTTTGTTCCATATTGGAGGAAAATCAGGGAGCAGAGATCCTTGGCCAAGGTCTGCTTTTCCAGCTGCCAGCAAAAGTGCAGCTTATGCATATTAAATTGTTATTCTCCATCTGTTTGCATTCCAATTGCACGGAGTGGCATTCGCAGGGAAAGGTATTCCGAAGATATATAGGGAATGCCATTAAGTAGGTCAAGTCGTTGCCATCATTAGCATACGAGGAAGCTGGGGCCTTGAACCATATACCATTTACCATTTACCATTTACCATTCACCATCATATACCATCGATGGGCGGCCACTGTGAACTCAGAGCATTTCATTCCCAGGCAAATAAACAATTTGCATTGCCAACTAAGCCCCGGCCATCGTTAAACCATCAAGAGCCTGTCCGACTGTCCATCCGTCCTTCCAACCGTCCAACCGTCCCTTATCATCAACCAGTTGAACAAATTGCTGACCAAAACCAACAAAACCGGGGAATCGAGGAGGTATGGGGCTGTTAGTGGGTGGGCTTTATTGAGCTCTCGGTGCTCTATAATTACAAAGGCCACGCCCACTGTTTGCACAACACTTGCGGGCGTATCTGTATCTGTATCTGTTCCTATAGTGTATATATATATATAGTATCTGTGTGTCTGAGTGTAGGTATTGTTTGCTCGCATTTTGAAATCTGTCACTAGAAGCGATTCGCTGAAATTAACATTTTGTACACAGGTCCGCCAGGAGAGCCGGGAGTTCCAGGCGAAGCTGGACCCGTTGGACCTGCAGGACCCCCTGGCGAGAAAGGACCGCGCGGCAAACGCGGCAAGCGGGTGAGTAATCAACATAATACAGAAAAGCTGAAGAGCTGAAGAAAAACGCAAAAAAAAAACGCAAAAAAAAACCTGATTCCACTCGATTTTTAATTAGAAACTCAACGGTAGAGGCCGTAAATTGAGTTCGAAAACAAGAAGTGTATTATCATGTAAATTACTTTTGTACAAATGCGTGGGCGTGTGCGCGTTAATTTTATGCTAATCTGTAGATACTAGTTATGCCGCCGGGTATGTAAATATCTATCCATATATAGTATGCTATATAGAAGGGCGAAGCCGAAACTTGTCCTTCCGCATGGTTTCACCTGCATGTTGGCAGTCGGTGTAATGAGCATGTTTACACGGCTGCAGGAAACGTGTTTCTCAACTCATTACAGGAGTCCTTAGATACCGCTATCAGCTATGTGAAGCGCGAACTTTGACAAGCTGCCAAAAAGGAGATAACAGAAAGGAAAATAGTGCCAAAGTATCTGGCAGATACTTTTGAACTATATATACCTTATACGCCCTCTAATCTGGTGCCTAAATTATGGGCACCTCCCTCAAAATACGAGTGTCTTCTACCATATCGAAGGCATTTATCTAGTATCTGGCCGTTATGGTTCTGCCCCTGTCAACACTGCTGAGATACTTAACATTTTTATTGGCACTCCAAGTGTCGGCAGCTGTTGCCGCCCTTTTGACGTGTTGATGGATACGAAGCGATTCTTTTCGGAGCGCGATGTTGGGGATGTTGGGGAATTTTCATTTCATTTGCTTTTCTTTTTATTCTTTTTTTTTTTTTTTGTGTGTGTTGCTGTATGAAAAAAAAACAAAGCCCCCCGCCAAACACCACACCCACAGATATATGCGCCATGGGGTTCGTGTTTATGTATTATGCTGCTCAACCAGTGGCAAACATTTGCGCATTTTGCCCATTTTCACGTAGCCACCGGGAATGCTTGACTAGGAGGGGGGTAGCGTTATGGGGCGTGTGGTGTGGGGATGGTAAGAAAAACATTCTGATTATTGTGCAGCAGCAGAAGCAGCAGCAAAGTCAAAGTCATGGGTGCTGCTGTTGTTTTTGTAATAACGCGTAATGCCAAAAGAAACAGGAGGCATTGGCCAATTCAGAAACGACTTCCAATACGCCCAACAGCGAAACAACAAACAGAAAACGCGCCAGCAACGTGCCGAACTTCTTTTATGAGTTGCCTCTGGGAGTCTCCTTGGCAAGCCAGAGCGAGGGCAGATAGAGCTCTTAATGCCCGGGAAAGTTTGCCAGATCATGGGATAGAAGAGTTACAGAAATGCCTTAAAGGATTGGGAAGGGAATAAAAAAGGCAATTAAAAAGCTGAGGGAGGAAGGTATAAAACACTTTTATCCTTTTCAAAAATATATTTTAAAATGGTAGCAGAATTTGCAAATGCAATAGGCTTAAAAGCCTAAGAGGAAGGCTTAAAATCAACTTTATTTTGGATTAAAATCTCAAATATTTATTCAGTTCGAAAGCCGTTTTAAATTTTATACATTTTATGAACAAATTTAAACATATTAAAATTCATTTCCCCCAACTAAAAATGCAAACTTTCACCACATAAATACAATAACCCAAATATTTCACCTTCCAAATATGTATAAAAAATATTTGGCCAGCTCGTTTGCCTAAAAACCAATTAAAGAGTTCAGCAGATACTTGCATAACAATATTTCTAAATCATCTCAACTTGCAAAAGATACATTTTTGTGGCAAAGAATTGGGCATCCTATTTTTCCCCCCAACAAAATATGAATATAGAGGAAACAGTTATTAAGCATTCCATAAAACTTTTCGATCTTTCCATTCTGCTAGCCAGTTTCAATGAGCCGATTTTATAGTGCCCCACAGCCTGCCACAGTCTGCCACCCAATGCCACACCACACCAACCGAACTGTGCAGCAACGTGATGTCAAAACAAATGAAAGTCATAAGCAACGGCTTCTGCCTCTGGGCCGACTCCTCTTTGGCAAACAAACAAAACTTTTGGCAACAACAGAACAGATATAACTATATTCGCACTCATGAGCCTCACCGTACCGCACCGTGCAGCACCGCAGGCAGTGCAAGGCATAAAAAATGATTTGCAACAATTGCCGTCATCTTCTGTGGAAACGTGACGCCCGACAGGCAGCAAAAGTTGATTTCCCATTTTCCATTTACCAATGTGCCTTCGATTTCCCTTTCTGACAAGGGAGCCCCCTTCAAAATGTGATGTCGCTTTTGGCCTGGCTAAGTTAATAAAGATAATGATAATGATGTGAGGAGCTGCATCCATGGGAATTGTTTTTTTAAATCTCCCGAAATTAGTTCAGTTGGAGGAGGGCAAGCAGGCTTTCCCATAATTAGTTCAGCAAATCGTAAAAAATGCCCGGCCTATTTTCGGGAAAAACATTTATCCATTTCTCGCCAAAGGCATCTGGCCATGGCTAAAACCATTTTCCCATTTGTTTCTCCTGGCTTTCCTGGGGAGGGTTATTGCCTAGCCGTCGGCGTCATAAAAAATACATAACGCAATTGCTGGCATTATAAATTTGACATGTTATTTTCGTCGCCTCGTCGGAGTAAAAAGCTCATATAGATTGCCACATTGCCAGGGGGACAGGGGCAGGCAGGGGGTCTTCTGATGACGGGTTAGCATATGAAATGAATTTGATGTGTGTAGTGAGGCGTGAGGCAGAGTTTCGCAAAGAACCGATACGTCTCTGCCCTATATATATTCCGTAAAAAACCAATCTCTGAACGTACTAAGCCCAGTGACAAATGCAAACTAAGTCAGCTGTCGGAAAATCCATAAATAATCTATTCATCGGACACGAACTGGCGTTGATAGGGCAAATACCCCATGGGCTATAGGGTATTAAAATGATTTTTGGCCCGCAGCAGCAAACATGAATTTTACGAGCGGGCATCATATTAAAAATTTAAATTAATTTCAAAGCGGGTGTGCCATGTGGAATCTCCTATGTCATGGCTCGTTTTAGCAGTTGCAGATTTGCACTTTCCACATCTATATCCTCGGTTTAATAAAGTTGAAACGATAAGTCACATGGAGAGGGGTGGGGAGGGGTGGTATGTTGCAGATAGCTGACAGCAATCTCAGCGAGAAGAAACTGTTTGTGAAGCGTTTATGTCAAATTTATGCTAATGTATTTTACAATCGTTGCTCAGCCCTGGTCCCATGTCAAGTTTGTTGTCTTTCGGGCCCTTCACATCAGCATAAATTTCCCAGCTCCTCCGCTTCCCCAGCTTTCCTTTGCTTATCAACGAAAAAGTTTTCCCGTGCCGCCTGCGTCTAAGTAAATGGAGTCATAAAAATTGCGAGAAAAAAACTTGTCAATTCGCTACACGTCACACGGGGTCTCCGCTTCGATGGAAATGCGATCCCAAGAAGTTCTAGCCAGAAGAGAGCTTGGCATACTTTGCTCGGAAAATCAAAGACTTAAGGTTGCTTACATGGAAATCCAAATGTGTGGCAGGACCTTTTCGTGAGTGTGTGTGTGTGTGTGGGAGTGTGTTTTGGATCCTGCAATCGCATGTACATAAACCTATACATATATCTTCATGTCTGCCACTCAAAGGGTTCATCGCTGTGGCTGCCACTTGGCCAATTCGTTGGCCCGGGTGTTGGCTAAACGACGCAATAAGCTTAGCACTTCCACCACCATCGAACTCCGGATCCTGGGCTCATTGCCTGGATTTTCATTGCTTCAGCTTGAGTGAAGACGACTTTCTCTTTTCCTTTTTCCGATTTGCCGATTTTCCGATTTGATAAGCCCCCACCAAATGGGCAACAATGTGTGTGCTTACGTCATTGTTCATTGAAAAATGCGCAGCATGCAAATTTCAACTCCTTTGTGCACAATTTTCCAATTTTTCTTCATTTTTTTCTGGCTTGGCTGCGGCAATTATTTGCGGTCAGCGTCCATATATCTTATGGTTATATTGAATGGGGCGATGGCCAGATTATCCGGGCACAAAAAAGTGAAACCGGTCAAGCATGGAACACGCCACAGGACATGCGTGAGTACAGACACACACACATGGGTGATTGGTGGATGGGGAGGGGGGCAATGTCCTGGCCCCAAGGGTGTGCGTAACTTTTATTTTATGGCCGCTGATGATGAGAGCGCTGTGGGAGTCGCAAAAGCGATTGAATAAAGAAATCCGGGCCCACCCACGCAAGCACACACACACAGATACACACACATTGGTAGACTTGGCGACAATGCCCTTTACCCCCCAGAAACTCCCACCCCAACTGAAGTTCTTTTCCTTACCCACTCCTTACCGCCCCCCATCCAGTTAGGCGGCCTCATAGAAATTTATAGGCACGCGTGTTACATTGACGTGGGTTTGAGGTTGCCAACGCTGGAAATTCAAGAAGGCGGGGAAGGGAGGGAGATTTTGTGGGGTCTGTTGGGTCAGGAAATGGGGAATACGGAATGAGATGGCAGAGTAAAGTGGAAGGGGCAGCTCTGCATGCAAAAGTAGCAAAATTATACGAAACCAACGCGCTTTGCCAACCTAAAAACCAGCAACCAACCGCACGAATGCCAACTGCTGCCATCTTAGCATTGATGTGGCACTGTCGCCGTCGGATGGCAAAAGGCAACAAGAACAGCAGCAACAACGGTAGAGTCAGCGGAGGCAAAAACGACGAAATCTTTAACAACGATTTCCCTAAATACTTCCGAATTTCATACATATTACAATATCACGGCAACCGGAGCAACCGCAGCTACATTGTTGGGGGCGAAACGAAATCACGCGAAATTTTTACAACGCGACTTGACTTGCTTCCTTCTGTTGAGCTCCGCACAGTGGTTGTGATGTATGAAATTCTATACAGATTCTGAATTCCACTTAAAAGAATAAACTAAAGCTTAATCAACAGTTTGTCCCATCTTAAATGGTGTTCCCTTCATGACTTCTATAAAAAGAATAGTAACTAAGGCAGATTTTCTCAAGTTTCCTCATCTTAAGACCTCGTTTTATGGAAAAATAATTGATGGCAGCTGAAAAACATGACAAAATAATAAATGATCAGCCGAAAAAGATTAAAGAAATTGCTTTCGCAACTTAAAAACTCAATATCTTGAGATTTTATGACCCAGACAGGGAGGGGGAGTTCGGAAAAATTCTAATCGCTTCCGTATTTGTAATTTTTATGATATTTTCTAAGAGCACAATGTCTGGGATGACCAAGTTGCATAACCGAAGCATTTCCAGATTGTTTATAGATCCGCCTTTTATAGCCCGAATCGCCCATTGTAATCGGTATCAATGCGAGGCGGAACATATTACGAATTTAATGCGCTCGCGTACTTGCCAAGAACTTCCCGGCCACCCTCGAATGTTTTGTAAACTTTTGCGGCAAACGCGCAACGCATTACACGCCATGAAGTGGCGGGATTTTGGCCCTACACCCGGTTCTACGGAGTATATATGGGTGTGTGTGTGTGTGTGTGTGAGCCGGAAATGGGCTGCAAAACTTTCACCTCAGGTGGTGGGTGGATGGGTGGATTGGGTGGATGGTCGTTCAGTGCGCTTTTTTTTCATGTCCGCTTTCCCCAACGCTTGGTGCTGCTGCTGTTGTTATGGCCCGAGAAAAATATGAAATTTCAAAAGAGGAAACTGCCGGGGAAAATGAAAAATTGTGAAAAATATGCGCGCACGCAGGGCACCAGCGGCACATGCTGTACTTGAAGGCGAGTATTCTTCTCATCCTCAGGTCCCGTCTCCACGTTCTACTCCTCTTCCATTTGTTCCTGGCCCTTCTGGTCGACATCCTTTGCCCATTCTCCATCTGGTTTTTGCACCCAACGACATCCGCAAAAGGTCGCGCGTCGAGATCAAAATGATTTTCAATTTAACGCGTTTACGTGCGGCCATTTGTCTGTTTTCCTTCTCCGGTTTCCTGCCAGCTTTAAATGGAAAAACTTTGCCGGATGCATACTGAGAGAAATCCGGACGCCACGACAGACAATCAGATGGGGCAATTAATTTACAATTACAATTTACAATTGACAACTAAAATGTACACCAAAAAATACAAAAAGAACCACCATGGAAATGTGCGCCCGAAAGTATGCAATGAAAAAAGGGACTGATTGCAGAGGTGGGAAAATTCATTTGGCTCGTCATTTGTGCGTTAAATTGAAAGGCGTTTGTGCAAATATTTTCAATATTTACGCATAATTTAAGAGGATACACTCCCACCCACTCTCATGTAGGCATGTCTTTGTGACTCTGTTTGGATACTTTGAAAATTAAATTCAACCCGAGGCGCTTGCTAGCTCGCACAAATATTGATACATTCTAATGGATTTCCTTACACACACACACACTCCCTCACACACTTAGGACCCCACAAGCCGATTGGTTTTTGGGCTGCCCGAAAAGGCAGAACCTGAAACAGAGTGTGTTTTCTTTGGTTCCTCCTCTTTTTATCGTAGTTAGGCAGCTGCGCCAACAATCGTCCTTGCGAGCCCCACAAACATTTGCCCAATTCACTTGCCTTCGCTCTCTGCATCTGTAGCTGTCTCTGTATCTGTAAATGTATCTGTATCTTTTATTTATGTTATTTATCGCAACTACCGCTGGCTTTAAAAGCCTTTAAACCTCAAATGCCTTACTTCTTCTACTACTGCATTGGCTGGGCTTTGCGATCATCATCTGGCCGGCGGGGAAAATGTGGGCACATAAGCCCTCAAAGTGTCCCTTAATTACAGCAGAAGGCAAACGTTAAGCGCTCGGCTTTAATTCAAATCGCTTTAATTGCTCTACAAATGGCCAGCCAAGACAGAACGTTGGATTGCGGATGCCCTGGCGAATTTACCCCACATTCCGCATTAGGAACAATGTGCAAAAGTTGCTAACAAAGCGCCAGCGCCAGCCAGTGCCAACAGACGCAGCAGCAGGAGGAGGCACATCCTTTTGCACACATCCTTCAGGAGGTGGATGCAGCACACACCTGCTTACCAAGAGCGCTCCACACATGCAGATGAGCTCTCGGGCGAAAAAGAAAATGCCAAGGGGGAAAAAGTTGAAATTGGGAAGTGTATTTGCGGTGAGGACGTAAGGACTTTAGCTAACGCTACCATCTCCTGCTCCTCATCCTTAGCCCACAGACAGTTGTCTTTGCCGCCTCGTTCTTTTGTCTGTCGCCATTTCGGAGGACCAACAACTTGTGCATATGCCAAGCCACATCCTGTCCGTATAAGTGTGCGTTAAGCGCTTACATTGTTATGCCTTCTCGCTGATGCTGATGCTGATGCCGTTGTCCCTATGCTATTTTGCTGTTGTTGCCGGGTTTTAATAACTGTAAGTACGCCACTTCCTGTGACAGAAGAAAATGTAATTGTTGCACATGCCCGGGCATGCCGCAAGGAAATTACACTTCCACAGGCGAAACAGACAACGCCACAGATACAGATACACAGCTACTGATACTGATACTGCAGCAGAAACAGAAACCGAAACAGGATCAATTGCGTAATGCCGGGATAGAGGTGAACGGCTTGAATGTAATGCATATGCGTATGCACAATCAAAGGACTAAACGGATACATTCAATCAGATTCCGTCCAGCAGTACAGCTTAGGGAGCACTTTTCTTTAATTCCACAAAAGGACTCTCGGCTTTAATGCCCAACTGAGGCCGATTTTAGTCCCAACTCGATTTGCCTTTCCCTTTTCAAAGGCGATTTAATATTCCAGCGTATGTCGAGTGTCTCTATTTGCTTGAGCCACATGTGTAAATGGTTTTCCCCATTTGCCTTTATTCTAGCCATTTTCCATGGCTCCTTAACATATTCCGCTGCACTCATGGTTTTTGTGCCGGGAGTTTGCCTTTTATGTCGCTCAGCATTCGCCTAATAGACGTTTTTGTTTGGGTGCATTGCGGTCTGAGAGCTCCCCCGCCCCACGCAACAACTTTCGGTAATTTTCCGTCAGCCGCAATGCACTGTGGGAAAATAGGAACGAAAGGAAAGGAAAGCATAGTCTATACTAAATTATAACTTTTGAATAAAGAAGAAAGAAATTTGAATACATATTTCTTGATCTTACTCTTATTCCGTTTTCAAAAAGTAACTAACTTAATCATGAACATTGAGGGATAACTTTCCGATTTCTTTAGGATATTATTAACTTTTAGAGATCCAAACGCTGTTCCAGACAATGCTTTTCCCATTAGAAAACTTTTATGTTTATGCAACCAATATTTTTTGGCTATAGCAGGGTGAACTGGAAATCCCTCCAGCTTAATCTCGATTTAAAACATTGATTCTGGATGGCTTTTTCCTAGAGCAGTGCACGTTTGGCTGTTTGCTCACTTAAGCCCCATTGAAACTTTGGACTTTATATGGAGAAAGGGGGAGGAATTTTCCTCGTTGTCTGTGCCTTGCAAATTTACCTCGAAGCGCCCACATTAACCCACCAAAAAAAGGAGGCGAAAAAAAAGAATTAATTGTCTTTTGCAATGCACTCACTCACTCACTTACACACACACACATGCGCACACACAATGGCAAAAGCCAAAGAGCACCCACACACTCGAACGGGGGCACTCACACACACACACACACCAACACACAGGAGCACTCGAAGCACGTAGAGAAGTCGCTGTCGCTGACTTGACTTTATTTTCGACTCTCGGAACACCCCGCATCCACTCCATCCAGCTCCATGGAACACGGTTCGGGCTTAAAGATTTTCTATGCAGCCATTGTCTCAACGGGACGCGGTGGGTTGCTGGCGTGATGGTGCGATGGCATGGATGCTCCAACTTGCACTTAACACAATTTCGTGGCACACAAAAGACTTTCGCTGCGGCACAACCACCAGAACACGCCGCACCACACCCCCAAAGAAGACCACCATCTCCTTCTCTCTCTCCTGTGGGCCAATTTTTTTTCCTTAGCTGCGAATTACGCGCCGCTTTTGTTTTCCCCATCAAAGCGTGTGGAACGAGCGCGTGCAACGCCTCGGGCGGTGCCACGTGGCATAAATTAATCTTCCCACTAAATTTGCCATATTTCTCTTCTCCCATCCCTTGCTCACTCCGTCGTTATGCTGGCAGATATTCGGACCCGGAGGCACCAAAATAGACGAGGACTACGACGATCCGCCGGTGACCCTGTTGCGAGGTCCTCCGGGCCCTCCTGGCCTATCGGGCAAGGATGGACGCGACGGACGGGATGGCAGCAAGGGAGAGCCGGGTGAGCCAGGTGAACCTGGATCTTTGGGTCCACGTGGCTTGGATGGTCTACCTGGTGAGCCGGGCATTGAAGGGCCACCTGGTCTGCCGGGCTATCAGGGTCCACCTGGTGAGAAGGGTGATCGCGGTGATATTGGCCCACCAGGATTGATGGGTCCACCAGGCTTGCCAGGACCACCTGGCTATCCTGGCGTCAAGGGCGACAAGGGCGATCGTGGTGATTCGGTAAGTACTTCTGATTCCTTATTCTTATCCCAATCTTGACCACAATTAATCCCCAAAACACCCTTTCAGTACCGCAAGATGCGACGCCGGCAGGACGACGGGATGTCCGATGCCCCGCACATGCCGACCATCGAATATGTAAGTCCCAATCTTGGAACCAACCACCCTTCGGCTTAATCTTAACTGATGTGATTTCCTTTGCAGTTATATGGCCCGCCGGGACCACCGGGACCCATGGGTCCACCAGGACACACCGGCAGTCAGGGAGAGCGCGGCATGGACGGACGCAAGGGGGATGCGGTAAGAGTCAATATACACCAGCAAGCTAATATCTCCAAATATCCAGCACTAAATCTGTTTCCAAATCTCCTTGGCAGGGTGAAAAGGGCCACAAGGGAGATCAGGGACCTATGGGACTGCCGGTAAGTGTGGAAATAGCCGAAAAGTTTAGCCCGTAATCATAATGAAATGTAATTGCAGGGTCCGATGGGCATGAGAGGCGAGTCAGGACCTTCGGGACCCTCGGGCAAGGCTGGCATACCGGTAAATTTCAATTGAACTCCGGGAAAACCCCAAAATTTTTTCGGCTTTTAATTTGTTACTCCCACTCCAAGCAAAATTTGATGATTTAATCCCGCTTAGCTAGTCGTAACCCTACCGGCTTTCGTATTTGATTTCGTTTTTGTGGAACTCGTTACTAAACGTTATGACTAACCAACTTGTGTGTTCTCATCTCTTTTTCTCTTTCTACTTGGAACAGGTGTGGGGCGACTACTAATACTAGTTAAAAGGCAGTCTCTATTAAATAATAACCAGCACACATTGCGCCAAAAGTCTAAAAGAAATGCGAAATGAAAAAAATAAACCATTTAAAACTCACGCACACTCACACCAACATACTCAAACACACACACACACACACAGTCGAACAGAAAGTCCTTAAGAAAAAATACATATGAAGAAGGGAAATCCAATTTAATCAAAGCAAAACAATGTTCAAAGTTACGAAGCCGCGCAACGCTTGTCTATCGTCTATATAAAAAATATATATATATATATAAATGTGTATATGACAGGCATACTATATATGTATATCAATTTGTACAAACACGCACCCATGTACAGAAAACGAAAAACCGAAATAGCAGCATGTCAGTGTGCCGAGTAAGCAAATCAATTAATTGCGAAAGGCAAGGAACCGAACGAAGCCCATCCACTCCACCCGCATGATAAAAAATAATAATATTCATATCATTTAAAACGCCCCAAGAGTCAAATAAGTATTTATGTATACAATCAAGTAGAGCAAACAAACGTCTGTCTACAGAAGCGTATTTACAAACATCAATCAATCGAATCAACTAACACACTTCCAGCTCACACTCCCACACCCCTACTGTACACACACACACACACACACACACATTACAACAAACCAACTAACAAATATGCAATGCAAATATTTTAATTGCATTTCATTCGCCGCCGCTCTGTGCGAAGCAACTGCAGCTGGAGCAGGAAAAGCCGCTTGAAAATGCATAAATCATACGCACCGTGGTACGTGAAAACAGTGCGAATTTCTCATGGTTTTCAAGTGCATGGCAATAATTGCCGGGATTATGAGGAAACCAAGTTGCAATCATCGCCAATTGGCCATAAGTGACTTAATTACCTGCGTAATCAGATTATTCTTAACAATCGAATCGAAAGAATGCTCTTTCTGCTGCTGCTTCTGCATTGTCTTAGGTGCCGTCCATGGGCTTTGTTTGAATACTCGAATAGTACTCCCTCGTTCAAAGCTTCGATGTTCAACACAAAGCTAGCATTAGATGAGTGTTTCAATAGGAAAAGTGTGCTAATCAAAGGTGGCAAAGCAAAAGAATTGTAAGATATTTTCTCCCTCTCAATCTCTTTCTCTCTCTCTTGATGTCTACAAGTAATGGATATTTGTTAAGTTACCAAGCCACCAGCACACACAACCCAACATATTGAAAAGAGATTTTCCACATACAAGGCAAATGAATGTACTCGTATATCAATAACGAAGAGCTATCCAAACCAATTGTGCATATTTTTCAGTGTTAATAAAGAACTTCAATAAATCAAGCGAGTAACTAGTTAGGCTAAAGTTGAATTCTATTCTATAGACGAAAATGCAAAATGCAAAATGCTTTCCACTTCAGAAAGAAAATGAAAAAGAAAAAGAGAAAAATATGTGGAGTATGCTCTTGTGAAATGCGAAATATCAACAATAAATACATAATCTTACCACGAGTATGTATCCTATTGGTTTCATGGACATCTCAAACAAACAAAGTAAATGCAAACAATTCTATTTATACAAACAACAAAAACCGAAAGCATAAATTAACATTTACGATTTTCAATTTTCAACGTCCGCGACACGCTCAAACTAGGCAAAGAACGTATAATAAAGCGGCCTGAAAAATCAAACATAATCAATGCAAATGAAATAATGCCATGGAAATATGATAATAAAAGTATATACGGCCATTTGACAGCCTCAGCCCATGCCAAACAGAATACAAGACCCATAAAAATTGTATGGGAATTATTGAATATGCAAATGGGGCAAATCGAAATGTTTGCAGCTTTAAAGTTAACTCGAAAAGGCAAAGGGAAAATGGCAAACGGCATCGAAAATCAGAAAGAATATGTCAATTTGTTTTCAATTAGATGTGTGTCTCGTTGTTGTAATAATCCCCGAAATGGAAAACCAAAATACACAGCCAATTTGCATGTCAATTTTCATTTAATCCACTAAATGTCAAACAAAAGCCCCTCCCCCAATGTGTACATAAGCTCTAACGAACGGAACTTAATCGTAATTAATTATTAATTTTTCTAGCTGTTTTTATCTCTCAACGTGTGTTTACTTGCATTTTGCTCTCTCTCTCTCTCTTTCGATCTATCTATCTCTTAATACATGTACTTACTCTATGTACCCTCTAGAGTCCCTCTCCACTTAACTTACTCTACGAAACTCAACTTTCTCGATCCATAGGCTAGAATAATGAATTGTGTTTGTCGCGATTAAAGACCTAACATTAACCTAATAATAAAACAGTATTTGAAGAGAAGTAAAAAGCAGGTTAAACCCCTGATAAGCCGCTAACAATAATTGTAAGTGTAAATTTGTTAATTACCCAATAAACAGAAGAAGAGTTTGCAAATAAAAACGAAAAGTAAAAATAAATATATAAATATACAAATATATATATATATATTTACGTGTATTTATGTCTATATACATGCATATACCAAATGTCGATGTGCGAGTGCATTATGCCATCACAAAAACAAAAACAAAAACACAAAATCACAAAACATAAAAAATATTTTTATCCGTGCTGCTGCATTTCAAATGTATGACTCGAAATGAAATAAAAACTAATGTGAATTCTGGTAATTATTTGCCATGGCATGTACGTATTGAAATGACATTCGATGGAATGACCGACCGTATTGTAAAATGGCTAAAATGAAACTAACATAATTTTCGAATTAATTATGCATTTCCAATAAAGTGATGGTTTTTTACTAAAAACAAAACAAACTAAACCCCCAAAAATAATTCATTTTCCTAGGCAGGTTTTTGCCAATTTACACCGCTCTGCTAACCACACGCTTTTCCCATTTCTCTCTTGTTTCTCTTTCATTTGCTGCAGGGTCCTCCGGGCTTGGATGGCATGAAGGTATTTTCCACGAAACATCCACTCAAGTGAAAACAATATGCTAATAACCGATCTGTTTTCTGTGTGCTTTCGCAGGGCGCCCAAGGCGAGACGGGACACAAGGGGGAGCGAGGAGATCCGGGTCTGCCGGTAAGCATCTGCCCTTCCCGTAGGACATTTCCGTAGAAAATTCTCTCTTCTACTCCGTGTGGTTGCTAATTTTAAATAATTTTGTGTCTTCTCTTTTTATTTGTTTTTTCTTACCTCTGTTTGCATGCGTATCTCTCTCCCTCTCTTTCTTGGCGTCGTTCACTACCTACATATATATATATGCACCACTTTCCGTCCCACCCACTGACCTCTGTCCCCCTGACACCACCACCATCACCAAACCTTCCACCTACACTCACCACCCCCCTCAAAAACACTCGAACACACACCTGCGGATAATCGAAAACAAAAAGGGCACGGATGGCATTCCCGGGCAGGAGGGGCCACGCGGTGAGCAGGGCTCCAGAGGGGATGCCGGCCCGCCCGGCAAACGGGGACGGAAAGGAGATCGCGGCGACAAGGGCGAGCAGGGCGTGCCCGGACTGGACGCCCCCTGCCCCCTCGGTGCCGATGGGCTGCCGCTGCCCGGCTGCGGATGGCGGCCGCCAAAGGTTAGCATGCGTTATTCGTTATCGACTAAGAGCCACCCACTATCCCCGTTCCACAATTCCTAGAATGCACAGAAAGAAAATATGTGACTTAATTATCTGATTTGATTTCCTATCAAAGGAGAGCTATTAGAAAATTTTAAAATTTAACATTTGTTAAATCAAATTCTTTGTAGTTAACCCTTTTTAAAGACCAGTAATGATATGCCCCCTCATTTTCTTTCTGTGCACCCCCAATTGGCTGTCGGAAAAGTTGATCGTTGGTACTTTTGCATGCGCCACTCGTGGCCTCCATCTACTTGGTAGTATCTTGTTGTTGTCCAAGTTGGTTAACTAACTTTTGCTTTTGCACACACACACTCACACACACAATCTAACACTAACACAATGGGAAACGCACTTGCACACCCACGAACACGTACACACATACACCTAACACAGGAGCCAATCATCTCGACGCCCGTGCACAAGGATTATTTGCCCGATGTAACGCAGCCGGAAAGCAACGCCAGCGATTACGAGCAGGAGGAGGAGGAGGAGGACGAGCAGGCTGAGGATAATGAAAACGAATATGATGAATATCAGGATAATTTGCATAACAATGAGTGAAAAGGAAGCAGTCAGCCAGGCAGTCAGCCAGTCAGACAGCGAGCCAAGCAAATGGCAAACACAGGCGGATAAAGGCGAACAGACCCTAAGAACCAAACCTCCTTCCTACCTCCCAGCACCCCCTTCAAGGATACCCATACGTACACTCACACACACACTGGCTTTGGCACACGCACACCGACACAGGCGACTAGTTAAGCATTTCCGATTTCCGCTGCGAATCCTGGCTCTGTTTCGCTCTGTTGACATTTGCAATTAGCGCTAACAAATGCCAAGTGGCTGCTGCTGCTGCTTCTAACGGTTTTGCAAAGTAGATGCTATTAGCATACTCTATCTCTGTCCCTAACTCTGTTACTCACTCCCTCTCTTTCTCTGTGGCCCTCACGCACACGCACTCACAATTATCCTTTGGCTAACACAGACACACACACTGGCTTAGCTTGGTGACGGTTCCTGGCTCTCAAGCACTCACTCTCTCCCTATCTCTCCCTCTCTTGAATTATCTCATTCATTTCTGGCCATTTCCGGCTGAACTTCTGTCTCGCCCCTCGCAGGAAAACTGGCAAGCCTGGCTCAAGGACGAGCTTAATGCGCTGCAGCATCCGCGCTCAAAAAACTAATTACCAACGCCCACTCAACGGCTGCAGCGAAGGCGTGCTCTCGCAATATCCAGACGAATCTAAACGCTTTGGTTTTAATTTTAGTAACTTGTTATTGTTAAATGTAGGACATCGAACAGAGCTATAGCTACTACATTCATCGCATAGAGAACACCCTATCATAAACACTGTATAATCTGTAATCTGTAATCTGTAATCTGTAATCTGCATCTGTGCCAAATTGCTCCAGGTTGCCACCAGTTCGGCGATCCCTACTCCCCGAGGTCGCAACCTTTATAGTTCTAGTTATACTTTACCTATAAATTGTATCTACAGCAGCTACTTCTACAGCTATTTCGAATACCTTAAGCAAACAAAAGGAAACCAACTATTTTTTACAAGAAACCCCTATTTAAAAACAAAACTTAAAAAATAAAAGTCAACAAAAACTATAAAAAGTGTTTCTTCTTAATCGGTTTACTTAGCTGGAAAGAATCTATGGTGGTGATATCCTAAAACTATCTAAAGTTTTCTATAACTTTACTAACTAAGCATTCGGAGAGATTAATAGCTAAGGATATCTATGCTTCGAATCAGTTCAGATTTCATAAGCAAACAATTCTGACTTTTTGAAAGGAAACTCATAAAAATTATTAAATATTTTTTACTGGACAAATGAGCAAGTTTTAGAATTTCGCGTAAATTTATATATTTTTAACCGTTTGTTTGGAAAACAAAAACTATGTTTAACATTCCGAAACCGAGAATCAGGAACTTTTACGTTAAGGATAGTGTAGCATACACGGAGGATCGCAAGGTTGTGAGAAGGTTGAAGCTCTGTTCGACTTGCCCTTTTTTGGAGCAGACTCTTGCTTCGCATTTGTCGACTTTTGGGACCGTAGAAGAGTGCCACTGGGATCCGGATAAGCTAGAGGGATCAGTGCTATATAAAGAAGCTACCGAAGCGGCAAAGGCACTATATTGCAATAGGCAGACTGTAAATGGCCGCTATCTTACTTTGCAGGCCTGTGACACCTGGGATCAGCCGGATGAGCAGGACAATCCGGACAGCAAGAGTGCTTACGATCTACCCGTCGTCGATGACATTTGGCGTAAGGTGCTTGAATATCTGCCCCTAGACTCACGTCTCAACTTTGCATCCAGTTGCCAAAGATTCCAGGATATCTACAAAATGGAATCGCAGCGATTGAGTAAAGTGATTAAAATGGACGATGTTTGTAAGCTGACCAACTGGGCCATCAGGCGAATGATGCAACATTCAGGGAAGCACATTAAACGCTTAGAAGGTGGACCAATTCATTCGCAGTGGAAACATTTGTTGACATTTGCAAATTTTTTAGGTTTAAGCGCTAAAAATCTAACCGAACTTCATTTCGACTATATCCCACTGACCACAACTCACATGATTAACCTTTTCCATAGACCCAGTTGTTTGAATAATATTACCAACCTCTCGTTGCGCCATTGTGATATTACAGATCAGCATTTCATGTGCCTTGTATCGCTAACCAAACTGAAGTCCCTAGATATTGGAGAAAACACGGGTATTAGGGGCGATATGTTTTGTCTTCTACCAAGTGCCTTAGAGAACCTAAACGTTAACCGCTGCGAGAATCTGGAGTACTCGCGCCTTTCCTTTGTGGGATCTTACCAGCTTCGCGAACTACACTGCTCAGAGATTCGCGTTCTGGACTTCAACCGTTTGTGGGTAGACAACGATCAGCTGGAAGTCTTGGCCCAAGAAGGGCATGTTTACTCGAATCTGACCCATTGGTGCCCATCGCTGGAAGTTCTGGAGGTGTCGGTATGCCCTTACTTGGACGAACCGGAGCTGGGAAAACTGTCCCACTTGCGCAAATTGGTCCTTCGTTCCGTGCCTTTGGAGCCGCTACCATACCAGGTGAATAACTCGTTACTGATGGCACTCGTGGAATTGGATTCATTGCGGCATCTAGAGTTCCAGCAGGCTGGACCTGCTTTCGTGGATGGCAAAGGTCTGAGGATTATATCGCTGCTAAAAGAGCTAAGAACTTTGATTTTACGCAACCAGAACTTTAAGGCTAATGAACTAATGGAACTGCGCAAGCTTAACGCCTTGGAGTATCTGGATCTCAGTGATTCGACTAATCTCTCCAATGAAATCGTCGTAGAACTGGCCAAGGCCCTTCGTAGGCTGCGTCGGTTTAAGGTGAAACGATGTCCCCTAATCTCAAGCAGGCTGACACAGATTCTTAAAGATATTCCATTGCTCCAAGTTGACGTTTAGAAATTGTTATTGTTGTTGACTATTTACTTGTTGAAATTAAATTTGTGTTAACCAGCTTTAATTAACCATTCCTTAACTTTTAAGGGACGAGCACAACTCATAGATATACTAAAACTAGTGGTCTAGAAACACCAAGGCGTTAAATTGGGGAGACAAAGAGCATATAAGTTAGATAATATACAAAATAATATTAGTTTTTTTTTTCTTACCTACTTCCTTGATTAAATCTTTACAAATTAAAGAAATATCAAAAATATAGTTTTTTAATATCAAAAAGTAAAGGAAATCTAGTAAAAGGCGAGCCTTCTTGTTTATCAAAAACACTTAACTAATTACTCTTTTAAGAGTTTAAAGCTTTTAACAAATTTATGAACTGTGTCCTTAACATAGGGTTTCAAGGCGATGCAGGTTGGAATATTCTCGGGTTGTTCAATCCACAACTTGTGCTTAATCTCGTTCTCCTTTAACTTTTCGCTGAGTTTAACCAGAGCTGCCTCATCTTTGGCCTTAAAAAGGGAATTAAGAAATTTCATATGGTTAGAAAACTTGACAAGAAATTTGTACGAAATGTTATACAATTTAAAAAAAATAATTCAATATTCATTATCAATAGTATTTCTCTTTATTTTGAGAACTCTTCTACAATATTTTCCTGGGAGTATAAAAATAAAGTAAAGGTAAAAAATCTTAAGATTTTTGAAATAAAATTGAATGTCAAAAGATTTGTTTCTGAAGGTTCAATTTAACCTATTAAGTACGCAATGAAATGATTAACTATTTGGAGATATACTTATAAATATAAATTAACTTATCATCTTACCTCCAGCACAACTTTATGCATATTATCCAGATCTTTCAAGTAGGCCACGGTGTCCGCATCGTCTGAGTTTAAGTTTATAACGGCGGCCGTGGCATGACAGCACTGGGCTATGACCGCCCCCATAGGCCAGCTAAGAGCAGAACGCAAGTCACTGCGGACAATAATATACTGCACGATGTTGCTCATATTAAATAAACTATATAAATTAATAAATTCTTCTTAAAAATATATTGAAACGCCGGCAATGAAGAAAATAAACAGCTGTTTGGGCACTGCCATATGGTGTAAAAACCAAGAGATGCCACTTGGTTAAAAAAAAGAAATTTTTGTGTGCTCGCACTGGTAACTCAGCCACATCGCTATGTATTCTTGGAAATTAAAAGTATACTTTTGAATGTAAAAAATGAGTTTTCCCTTTAAATTTAATTTTTAATCCATACATACGAGAATAATAATATTACAAGAATGAAGTGACTTCGTAGTGTGAACACTCCATTATTTTTTTGGTACTCTTGATGTAGAATGTATAAAATAAAAGTTTCGTCATTTCTGCACTAGGTGTCGGCACTGTTGCTCAGCAGTCGTATAAGGAAAAAGGCTTATACGTGCGATGTATAATATAAGTAAAATATAATGGATTGGATATTTCTCACATTTTCCCCAATTAAATAAATAAAATTTTATTATAGTTTTTCGAAAATTTAGGCATAAATCTTTAGCCCGACCCATTTTGTCCAATTACAGCCAAAAAAAGAAGCGAAACTAACTAAACAACTTTGAGAATAGTACAGTGAAGTTTACTCCGAAGTACAGTTCAAAAAAGAATCGCGGATTACCGTTGGATTTAGAAATATAAGTCAAGAATGAGAAGTGTAGGAATAATTTTTTGTGCGTAAAAAATGACTTTTTTGTGTTATTAAGAAAATTATCTAGTATTAAAGTTAAAACTTGTTAATTTTATGTTTAAAATATATTCTCGAAATGTATATCTTTCATTTGAGATATTACATTTTAATTTCCGTTACGTATTTCTCGAGATATTAAGGAATAAACTTGCGACTCATGGGTGTACGATTTAAAACGATTTCAGGGGGTTTGAATTTTCTTAACACGCCATTACAAGACCTTTAAACACTTTCTTTGCACTTTTTTGGGGGACACTCACTTTTCGAATCACAATGTGTAGCAAGTTGCAAGCAATTTCCATTAGAAATCTTTGGGAATCTATTAGCAAGAAATATAAATTGATGTCACCATTAGCGCACCTAATATTGGAAGGGTTTCTTTCAGGACTAACTCCACCTGACAGCTGCACTCTGAATGTTCGACACAGTTCCTGGCTACCAATGTGTAAACTGCAGTTCCTTTGGTCGCATTCCATTAAACAATGTTTGGCAGCCATAGCTAATTCAGACAAGTTTAACTAACAGAATTATCGGCAGAGCTCAGAATAAGTGCTGCCTGCATGAGGGGACATAAATAAAGAGCTTTTAAGCGGTGGTGTTAAGTAAGGTTCCTTGACGCTGACCGTCCTTCCAGAGGCACTTTATCCATAACATTCATAAATTGCTCGGACACATGTTGATTAAATCGCACTTTTGATTCGCTGAAATGTGCGTCCACACCCATTGGAAACCATTGTAGAACGAAAATACAAAGATTGTTCGTGTAGATACTTTGATTTTATTATTGTAATTTCTTGGAACACTTTACATTTACATTTAAATTTATACGCCATAGATGCGAGACGATAAACGACGACTACACACACATAACAATTTGACAGTTTAATTGATTTAATTTACGCACCACATTGATACGGATCTGTGCGGGATCCCACCTCGTAATTGATATCTTTTGCCAGATATAGTCGTAGTTCGTAAAGGTACACTTTTTTTTGCATATATGTATGTGTTTGTTTAGAGATACTCCAGCTAGCATATATAAAATATAAATAGGTTACAGACAGATTACGCTACTAAATTAGAACATTGAATTGGGCAAAACTTGAGATTCTTGGAGAGAAAACAACACTCAACTAACAACGACGGAGCATCAAAACCGGGAGGTCTCCCTCCCCTATCGATATCGATATATAATATATATATTATATTTATTTTAATAATAATTTCACTTGTTGCATTTGTTCAGTATGTCCAGTATCGTAGCTCATTTGGCTGGGTTTTAGAAGCTGGTCTTTCCGAAAATGTAGTTGCCCGGCGCATTTACATCCTCGGCGGCGAAGTACTCCTTCCACAACGCAGCAAACTGCTCCCGGGTGACCTCGCTCTGACCCTGAGCCATCTTGGTGAATGCCTCCTCGCACTCGGTCTTCTCCAGGCCGTAACTGGAGCAGACCAGGGTGAATTCGGTCACATCGATGCCGCCGTCATGCGAAGCATCCTCCAGATCGAACATGAAGTTCATGTAGGCGTTCTGCCAGTCCATCACGCTGCTGGGATCCTTGGCGTAGGCGTCCCACATGTTGCACCACTCGTCGACGCTGACCTGGAAGAGCCATAATGGGATGAAGCGTCGAGATTGCGGATTAGAAGCCACCAAGCTCAGATTTATGTATAGTATGCATCCCGCCCCGTGCTGAAAAGCCCATTAGCCGGTATCGCCTCAAGCGGAGAATCCCCATAAAACACCTCCTGCCCATCGTTATGGTTGTTCTGGCCGGGGGTAGGGGGGTAATTTATGCCATCTAGTGATGCGATATTAACATTTTCTGGTTGCCAATAGCGAACAAGGCAATTACCGCAACATCGCCTTGACCAACTTGGCTGACCGCCTTCAATGGCGTTACCAAAAACCCGTAGTAGTAGGAGTAGCAGTGACCGAACACCAGCTACTAGTACCAGCCATCCCATCCCATTAATTGTGGCCAGCCGTTACGTTTTGGCATGTTTTAATACGGCCATAAATAAGTGGCGAGGGTTGTGTCTGACCGAGTCCACTTGTAATGCCAATTGGCAGTTCAATCCCCCCCTGAAAACGAACTCTAAACAGCCATTCGAACTGACTGCATATTTTTATGTTTATGGCCAAAAGACTGAATCCAAAAACCAAAACCATTTGCCCCAGATCCTTGACCCGATGCCATACCACCGCTAAATAAGAAAGAGATATGCGTAGTCTGCCCTGGACTGCAGCTCCGTTTTCCGGCTAATTTGAGACCGTGTCACGGCACGTGCTCCGACTTGGATTGCTGTGGAGAGTGAACAATAAATCTTAAGCCGAACTGCCACAAAAGGCGGACCAACAATAGCTGGGGATTTGGCATATTTTGGCAGCAAACTCCATCAAGTTCCTTGGCCGTTGGCCAGAACTTTTGTGGCTTTATAGCGCCGGCGAAGTTCCATTGCCTCCACTATTGAGTTTAGTTGGGCACAAAGTACCCGTAAACTGGTAAAACCCCGTAGCCCAGTATAGACCCATAACCCTTGGAATGCGCCAATAGAATTAAGCCGAGGTTTTGTCGGTCTGACATTTCAATTTCTGTTCGCTTTGTATCGCATTGTTGCGGGTTTTGGTCGCCGTTTGTGTTGATATTGAACTATGTTCTGTTGGGCGGGATTATAATTTAATTTGCTGCTGCACTGCTGAGATGTGATTATGTAGGGCAGGGCGAGGTGGAAGGGAACAGGTAGATGGGGCAGAAAAGACCATTGCCATTGTGGCAGATAACAGGAAAACCTACAGACTCCTGCAGACTATGACAAAAAGTTGGTCTTGGTAATGAGAAGAAAGTTGGTGGCAAGTCCTCGGCCGGAATTCGGATTGCACTGCTCAAATAATTCACAATTCAATTTCCGCCCGCTGGCAGGGAATTTGTTTACCCCTCGGCATTCCGCACCAATAAAAAGGGAAATTTATGAACGAAATTTCTCTTCCGTTTTTTGCGTTTGTCTGTGCGAAGGACGTTGTATTTATGTGCTAGTATGACTATGAGTGTGTATGTGTGTGGTGTCCTGCACACTTGTCAGCTGCTGCCACAATGGCATCGAGTGCAGTCCATGGATTTCAGCACTTTTGGCACTGACAATGGAGCCACAGACACAAAAAACCCAAATCACTTGACATGTAGTTGCCTTTGCAACTCAACAGAGGGAGCGGGAGGAACAAGAAGAAGGCGCCGCACTTGGAACTGGAACTGGAAACTCACCTGTCCGTCGTTGTCCTTATCGGCCTTGGAGCGCAGACCAGTCCAGATTTCCATCATCAGGTCGTATGTCTCCTTGTTCTTCGGCGTGTCCTTCTGCCAGCCGCGCAGTTGGCAAACGCGCTGCAATTGGCAGAAACAATAACAGTCAGCAGCACAGGCACTCCCAAATTGAGTTATCAGTTCATATTGACAAAAACTGCATGCAAATGCGCAAAAAATGGACAAGAAAAACATTTGCCCAGCATATATGAACGAGTAGCATTTCTACTTGTATTCACTCCTCAAAAACTATATATATAGTATATATTCAAATTTTGTGCTTGCTTTTGCTTTTTTTGTTAGCTGGATTTCCGCTCCACTTACCTCAATGGCCAGCTCGAAGTCCTTAACGTCGATTTCGCCGCTTTGGTTCACATCTGTTGCGGCACGCATTATTATGCGGCATTGTTTTTATTTTGCAGGGCAGTCAGCGTAAATTGCAGCGTTGTTGTGGGTCCCGCATTGTTTGCATTGGCCAGTCCGGGGGGGGCCAAAAAACCAAACAGCCAAGTCCAAAAATAACGAAAAATGGCCAGAAAAGAATACGAATAGAGCAATGAACAATGTACGGATTTCGTTGGCAGCCTGCGACAGGGTTCCGGTTGGCGGTAGTGCGAACATCAACGAAATTGCACAGCCTAACAGTCACCCAGCCGCCACATGGAAATTGTGACTACACTTAGGGAAAATGTGATTTGAAACTCAAAAGTTTAACATGCAAGAGATGTAAGTCCTAAAGGCCTTCAAATGTTAATAAGTTAAGAAAAATATTTGAATTTTCATTACTCTTAAAAAGTCATTTTCCCTCAGAAGGCTGCCCATACTATTCTACTAACCCACTTCCATTGGAATAATTTGACTCCCTTTAAAGCTAATCCTTTTTCTATACCTATGTAATCTAGTACTTCAAACTTAAGAAGCTAATTTCATGTTTATAGCCAGAAAAAACTTCTCAAAAACTCAAAAAAATGAATCGTAAAACCAACGTAAAGTGAATTTTCTTTAGTTTAGGGCTTATATTTTTGTAAGTGCCTTTTCCTGGCACCCCTAGATTTGGCTTTTGGCCATGCGGGCGTTCCATTATCATTTGCAACGGTGTGCAAACGGCCACTTCAGTGCCAGTGTCAAGTGTTTGGCGCTTGCGTTTTATGACCATTTTTTTTCGGGGCTACTCTTTTGTTATGGCCTGACCAGCTGCCGTCGCCACCGTCGGGCAGTGAGCCAAGTTAGTATTGGGGATATGAGACCGCCAAGGGATGATCCAACCACACCGGTGAATTAGTCATAATTGAAATGCACTTAACCTTTATCCAAACACACACAGAACGTTGCTTACTTCTCAGCAAAGAGGAAAGCCTCGAAAGTTGTCCCTTTTCGGCATTTGCATTGCGTTTAATTCAATTTTAAATTGGCAAGTTTTGTTTGACTTTGCTGCTGACAGGCAAACACTTTTGTGCATTAAACATGGAATGGAACACACTCGACGCATTTAAGAGGTTTTTGTGAACTTACGTATACGCGATGCACGAACACCAGCCACATTACGTATACGCTCCGTCAGCACGTCACAGATGGAGAAGATTAAATCGAATGCAGAACAGCATGCTAATAAATGTCTGTCACTTTACGATTCCATAATGGCAAACCGCATATTCTGGCGTTGTTTTTTTCTGTGTTTTAATCCTACTAAAAAAACTTTCAGCCTTCGGAGTAGAAACTAATCAAAGTTTTCCAGGCCCCAATGCCACAGAAGTGGCCTGAAACCCTGAAACTTCACCCCAAAACGGACATCTCGTGCGGTTTATATTTAACAGATTCGCTTTCCTCTTGGGCCATTCATCATTCTGATAAATACTCACCGAAGAACACATTGAACAGGAAAAGCAGCTTCTTTTTGCGGAAATCGGAGATCGACATTATTGTTTTGTTATTTTTCGTTTTCAACTCCTTTTTTTACTTCTGTTTGCCGCTGGCTGTTTTCTTTATTGCGCTTTTATTGGCTCTCCACAGTTGCAACCGGAAATGGGAAACTGCAATGACAACGAAAAACACAATTACACGAGCTCCGTGAATGGCATAAAATGAATGGCGAAATGAAGTGTATTCGGAAGAGGGGCGCTGAGCTTAAGTTTAAAGTTTTCTCTCTCAATTAGGGGAGGTCGCCTCGTAAAAATAATAGTCAAGGAAAGGAATGGAAAAACCAGCAGAATAGAACCAGAAGTAGTAGATGCAGCAGTGGCAGCAGCAGGAAAACGGATTGGGTTTGCTCTAGTTGACTGGCTTAGTTTATGCCAGCTAATTCAGGCAAAGGAAATAAAACAGGACTGTCTAAGGATGCCAGAAAAGCGAAAGAGCTGCTGCGCGCAATGCAAATGCATCCTGGGGGAAAAGGGGCGGGCCGAGTGCTGAGCTAAAAGCGACACAAATGCAAGGCAATGGCTTTGGCTCAGACTGGCCCCCAGACCCGCCCCTCATGCACAGTATATGGGACTGTGAGTGTATGAGTATGTGAATATGTGTGTTTGCGGGGCTCATGGCTCATTTAACCTTCAATCAGAAGCCAGTTGGAAGGCAGGGCCATGTGCTAAATTAGACAGAACTATATATGCATGCATTGTGGAATGTATCTTGGCAGCAGACGCACTGAACAGGGCCCAAACATCAAAGGACCAGACCAGGCCATTGCCAGCGCTAAAAAGCCTGTGAAAGCCTTCGTGTTTGCATTAACTGCCTCGAAACGAGAACGTCGTATTTACTATTTACCACGTTTATGGCTGCTCTGTTTCATGAATCTCAAGTGATTTCAAATCATTTTTATGGCCATATAAATGGTTTTATGGTGATAGAAGTTTTATTTTCAGTGCAAAACTAATGATTATCTTATGATAATGATTTATGTTTTTATGTTTCTTTGAAAGTGTTTTATCATTTGTAATGATTTCAAAGCGTAAACTATGATTAAAGCTAAAAATACGGGAAAGAATTTAAACTTATCTTCTGAATAAAAGTTATTCATTATTATAAAAACCTAAAAGCATTTCCCAAAGAGACTTTCATTCCAAAATCACATTATCTTGCAACCTAAATTCCATTTCTTGAAAAATCCTAAACTCTTCGAAACCAACATCGCATAAACATTGTAAATATTTGCCTTAGTTTGCTTACGGGGACGCCAACTGCAGGCAACCCTCCTCACTCCGAAAAGGAAAACCTAGGATTTGTTCAACTGAGCTCGGAGCGGCTAAGGTAGCCAAAGCATAATTCCACAATAGAGGGAAATTGCAGCGAGGATGTCAAGTGGAAAGTGGAATGCAATGAACATGACAACGGCAACGAGGATATACCGGGATGGCCAAGAAAGCGCCGATGGCCAACGGCTGATGGCTGATGGCTGATGGCTAGATGGCTAAAAGCGGAGCACTTCCTTTTGGCGAAAAATGCAGTTTGGCTCGGAAATGAAATTAAATGGAATATCTCCGACTCGCCAATTGGATATGCTGTTGAGCGGCAAATTGAAACACGGCATCGGATCCAACAAAAAAAAAAGGAAACAGAGTAAAGGCTTTCGGTCAAGTGCAGGTAAATTTGACTCTTACTAAAGCTAATATTATTATGTTATTACGGCGGAAAGGTTGGCTGCCACATCCATTAAATTGGTGGCGCAAAATTGTAATTGCACTTGAAATTGAGGGTAAATATTGTTTTTATTGTCATCGGAAAACTAAACTGAAAGTGCAGGTGAGGGCTTAACTGATCAAAAAAGTGGGTTAAATAAAATTATAGTCAAGCGTGTTTAACACTATAAACTACACCAATTAAGATTAAACCATAATAGTTACAAGCTGCTGTCCTTAAACAAGGTCAAAGCTAATATAATTTCAAAATTAATCTGAACCGGAATCAATTATGATATATTTTCTCATTAGCCAAAGGCAACTAAGTACGATTAATCTTTCGGCCATAGTTGACTTTCATTTAAGCCACCATCGTATTGTTAATTAAATTTACAAATTTCGCTGTCATAAAAATTAAATTTGACAATTATTTTGATCGCGAAAATCGCTTGTTTAATTAATATATTAATAATGAGGATTTTGTAATGGTCGGAAAACAATGTGGCAGTCGATGTCAATTTTATTTAGCCTTTCATACACACACACACAGACATTTGCATGCATGAAAATCAGACTGTCACAGTTCATTAATTTCCTACGTGCGCGTCAATTAACATCAGGTGAAATCGCAGTGGGTGTGTGTGTGTGGAGGGAAATAAAAAATGTATGTGGGAAAAAATAATCCACATCTCCATTGGCTAAAAGTACACAAAAAGTGTGAAATTCAATTTGGCGCCCTTTTCATTTTTATGTCCATTTGCAATTGCAATTGCGTGAGTTTTCTTTTTAGTGGAAGAAGAAAGGAAGGAAGGACCTTCCACATGAAGTACAGGCACGTAGCCATGGGGCATTGAAAAATAATGTTTTTTAGGGTGAAAGTAAATCAGAATGAAACCATTTGTTAAATTGTGATATTTTTAAAGTTTTTTTTTTTGGTTCAAACTACTGGTACATATCTCCATTTTAATACCAATTTAAGTGTTTTCTTTACTTGCTTTTGATTTGATTCTCTTTTCTGTTTTTAAAAGCTTTTAACTCCAATTTCACTTTATAAAGACAGTTTAGCTTACGTAAGTTATAATATTTCCGATCTGACTGCTTTCAAGCCAAGTGAAAATACAATTTAAGCCACCTGCGAAAGCCTTCAACCTGATGGCAGATGTAATTTAAGCGGAATCTCATTTCACTGCCACTTACGACTCGCAATCGAAAATGGCCGTGGAAATTTAAAGCCTTTTAATAGCCTGATGTGCGGATTATGTATCCTCGAAAATTAATAATTAAATATGCGCACAAATTGAATTCATCGATGCCATTTGTTTCTCAGTTTTCCGCCTGCATTCCGTTCTGTTGGTTGTGGGTAGCCCATTACGCATACGCCGTGTTTGCTTGTCATTGAATGGAATGGGCATAGTCATGGGCATGGACATTTATGCCGACGCCGCCCTCCCATTAATTACCAATACTCATGCGCCAATGCATAAAAGCCACGCGCTGTTTGCCACAAAACTGCGTCGGCTTTTGTGGCACGAGGCAACCACATTAACCAGCATCACCACCGAAGGCTCGTTAATTGGGTTCTGTTTGAGTTTCGCTTTCATTTTTCGGGCGGACGCTGGCTATACGAGTTTCTAATAATGAAAATATTACGGAATTTCCGCAGTCTCGCGGGCAATAAATAGCCATCTGCGAGGTTATAAATTTCAATATGAAGACATCAATGTTTTAATTGCACTTTCAGTGACAGCGTGCGAGATGCGAAATGGGGCTGATTTGATTCCGCAATTTATTGGGCAATCAAATTAGAGAACATCCCACTGGCCGTTTATCAACACAATTTGATTTGCATAAACTGGTTGAGTTTTTTTTGTATTATTTTTGCTCTTGTTGTTGTTGAAAGCTCTGCAATGTGTTTATTATGCAAAATCTAGAATACCCAGGCGGGTGGGGGCAAGGGCAGGTGGTGGATACTCATAAATTATTAGAGAGTGAGAGTATAAAATTCGGAACCGAACAATATTCATGGCTTTTGTTGACAGTTGTCAGAAGAGTGCTGAAAAGTATGCTACACAGGCTATTGATCGATTTTGGTTGACAAAATTGTTGTAATTGTTTTGATTGCATCAGCATGCAAATTGGATAGGGGAATATATTTATTTGGCCTGCCATTAGTATCTCGGATTGCTGATCCCAGAACTTAATCCCCCCGTGGATGACCAGATGACCAAATGACCCAATCGCTCTGGCAATTCTCAACCCATCTTCAGTCTCAATTCGAGTTGGATGCTGGCACAGTTTCAAGCAACGGTCGCTAATTACTTTTGCGCTGCCGTAAATTTGCGCAGCCAATTTAAAATAATAGACAATGCAAGTGGCGTCGTCGTTTGCTCTTTATCTGCTGATGATGCAGCTCCATGGGCGCTCCGCCGGGAATTGTCCGTTTTCCGTTGTCCGTTGTCCACTGTCCACTATTTGCCTTTTGTTGCATTGTCCGGCTCGCCGTAATTCTGTGTAATTTGCATTAATTTACATTTAATTTGCGAGCCGTCGAGGAGAAAAAGAGCTGAACAGCTGAGCTGAGCAACCAAGGAGCAGACAATGCGCGGCCTAAGGCCACCGACGCATGCCTGGCCAAACAGAACGACTGGCTGACTGACAGGACGAGGATCCTTATCCTTGGAAAACTTTGGCCATGCAGTTTCAATGAATTCATTATGGACAGTGTGCCTGGCCCAAGGTGGCCGAAGTAAGAATATTCTTCCAGTTGTTAAATTGTCGAGAGGTTGGTTGGTGGTTGGTTGGTCGGTTGGTCGGTTGGTTGTATATTTCGACAAAGTACAACCCCACCCTAGCCCCTCCTGTCTTTTCTTTTACAAACTATCTTTGCCCACTCAAGAAAAACTGGGGCTCTGGTTCCTGTTGAGCCAGGAGCTCTTTTGAGCCACCCACTTGTGCTCGTTACTTTTGGCTTGTTCTTTTGTCGGCTTTTTGAAATGTGTTTTTCGAAAAATTTTACGGCATTATTATTCTTGTAACGGAAACTCTTAACACAAACACAGGTGTAGCCAAGTACACACATACACTCACACAAATATACGATAACTTTACCGTTCGGTTTGGTTCTGAACTGAACTTTAGCTTTGTTTTTTAACTGGAAAAGTTGGATTCCTGAATCCTGGACTCGTCTGCTCGGCAACGCGGTTGGCCGTCTTGTGATGCTCGTTGCCATCGAGCTGCCTTTTATATGCGCTACCCTTGTGCGCCGACATCGCTGCCAGCGCTGGCAGAACTTGGTCGCTCTGGGTGCTCTATGTCATCGCAGGGGTTTTATCTTATCGCCGTCGTCGACGTCTCTGCCAACGGCTCTGCATGCATCATGGTGTGAGTGAGTGCTGCACACGAGTATCGTTGTAGTGTGCTTTTTTGGCCACCACGTGCACTGTAACGAGCAGAGCAGAGCAGCGGCAGCGGCAGCGGCTGTGGCATCAGCATGCGGCATATTTGCTCGTGGGTTTGTTTTGGGATTTGACACTCGCAGAAAACTCCATGCTGGGCGCCCTTGTATATAGACTGCTGCACTTTATATTTTGGTAATTAAATGGTTCTTCTTATCGGGCGGCATACAATGTTGACGCCTCGGGTGACGAAAAAGACACTGAGCGGGCTATACTTTTGGCTTACTGAGTTATTGTCAGAACTGGAAATGGTTCTCTAGGTTTTACTAAGCTTGTCTTAAAAGTTTATCACTCTTTTGTTTCTTAAAATTTAGTAGAATCGGCAGTTTAACGAAATACAATGAAGAATTTAAGAAATTTGATGTTTGCTTTGAGGTTGCTTTGCTGTTTGTAAAATATATTTCTTAGCTTTATTCATTGTTATTTTTTAGTTATTAACCTTACAAAGACGACACATTGTTAAATTTATTTTTCAAATCACTTCTTAAAGGAACTCTACAGGAAGGAATAAACCAAAAACCATTAAGAAAAGGACACTGAATATTCTAGCCTGCCATCTAAAACTACTCTACAATATATACTAAATATATCATTTATTTCCACATCCTAAAAGCACTCCATTTCATCTTTTAAGCCTTCAACAAGACTTCAAAGCAAACTCAATAAATCCCAAAAAAGTTGAATGGCATCTTTCCAAATAAATGCATTTCTCGCAGTGCACCACAACATAACAAATCAAAATGTGCAAATGTTCTGGACAAATTTTTAGCATAGCCTTGACACACACACAATAAAGTGAAACACACACCGACACATACATTGGCTTTAAAGAAGCCAACAAACACACACACAGGCATTTAGGCTGGCTGTGAGCTCAACGTGGCTAAAGTTAATTTGGCCCAAAGAAGGCAGTCGAAACAGCTGCTGCAACAGCAGCAGTAGAAGCATCAGCAGCAGCAATAACCGGCACACTTGGCGGCATAATTTCTGGTGGCGCATTCAATCTTGGCCAAGAGTGGACCACCAACCGTTGACCGTGGCTAGAAAGCAAAAAAAAAAAAAAAAACAAAGCACAGAGAGCAGCATTTAAGCCAAGCAATTTCCAGGCTGTCTGCCTGGCTTTTAATTACACAAAGCAGACATATACAGCTCATGTATTTCAGCTGTTAATTGTCAAGTTTCGGCTGAAATGTCGCTGCCAATTTATCAGGCGCCTCAGGAGCAGGTTCCCTTTTCGCCTTTTTGTCATGTTGGCCGAGAACATCCTGCTGCTTTTCGCCCAGCGGGTGTCCTGCAGCCTGGCCTATGCCTGTGTTCCACATCCATGCTGTTCCGCCAGCTGATGCTTATTGCAGATGACCGTTTTACCAATGTTTCGTTCCGACCTGGCTTTCTGGGTCTATGTCTATGTGTGTGTGTGTGTGTGTGTGTGTGTGTGTGGGAGCGACGGTGCGTGTTGGAGTAGGCAAATGTTTAAATTTGTGGCCTTTTTACCTGTTTGCATCTCAAGTGGCCAAGGGCTACGTCCTTTTTTATGTGTGTGTTTGTGTGCAGGAAACGGAAGCCGACATTGACACAGTTTGAAATTAACATGAGCCTGGCCGAAGACCCACTAAAATCTTGAATGCCTTCTAGCGTTTGGCCCCATTTCTCAGCGTTTAGCTGTCCACCTATTTCATGTTGTTTTTGGCTCTCCCTTCTACGGCTCTGTATCGTCTCCTTCGTCCCTTTTGCTCTGCCTCATAAGTGGGAGCACTAAACGTTCCGTTGTGGCTCACACACGAGCGAACAAGGTACACTGAGAAAAAGTCTAAAGGTGTGCTAAAAAACTAGTCATCTAGATGTGGGAAAAAAGCCCACAGAAGACAAATTGGATTAAATAAATCTAACTTAGCAGGCGTGATAAGAAGTTTCATAAATCAAAGAGTGGAACATAATCTTTGTATAAGCAATAGGACTAAAGTCATGTCTAACCCTTCATTTAAACACATGATTTGTATACACCTTAAAGTAAATCAAATTAGGTTACCATTGATGACCATTAAAAAGTATTTTTAAAGAGAAATATTTAAATATTTTATATAAAAAATAATACCATAACAAGTTAACTTTATCCCAGATAATGAGAATAAGCCAAAAAGCAAGTTGAAATGATAATAACAATAATAATAAATAAAAGTTCCAGTGTAGCCATCCTAAAGGTGCACGGCAACGGCAAATTATTTGAGGGTGGACGAAGGCAGACTGCATCCCCACCAACCGCACCCACACCAAGCCCAGGACACACCTCCTCCTCAGATGGGGCTGCTGCTACCACTACTACTGCTGCTCCTGGTGGCCACCTTTGTGCTAAGGACGTTCCGTGCCAGCCACACACTCGTCGCTTACCTGCTCGGCAATGGCAACTTGATTAGACCAACATGAAATTAAGTAATTTTGCTGTATTGTTTAGTGTTCCAGCTTGGCAACAAAAGTGGGGGTGGGTAAGGCAGTTGGGTGGGTGGCCTCCTCCATGGGGAAGGCTGCAAGAGCAACGGACACCACAATGGCGACCGAGAACAAAGCGGGTCACAAAGGAAACCACCAAACAAACCGAATTTAATGAAAACATTTGTATCGCAGACGAGGATGAGTCTTCGCTCTTGGACTCTACCTTCCCCCACCCATAGAGAAAAAACAAGAACCTGGAGTTGGAAAGAAAAATAGAAGAAAATAAATCATTCATTTTCGAAAGACGCAAAGTTTTGGGATCATAAAAAATTCCATTTGCACCCCGAATGGCAGCCACTGAGATAAGCTGTGAAAAAATCAAGCCGACAGTATTTTATAATAATAGAGCCAGATGCATTCGCAAGCTGGCTAAAACAGATTGCCAAGCTCGTGTGTCATCGTTGGACAACTTCAGTTAAATTGCATTTACCTCAGCAGGATTCTATCTTCCTCTGTCTCTCTCTTGGTTTCTGGTATAATCATCTCATTTAGGATAATCAGAAACGGAAAACTCGTGTGTGTAGTGCCATGAATTCTCATATCGCAAATGGTGAGTAAAACAATTTGAGTTTTAGTGTAGGAAATTGCATATAATCCGGCAAAAATGTGCAATTCCCTTTGAATTTAAATGCGCCGAAAAACGTTAGGGCCATCCGTCGACCCCTCTCTAATTTCCATCTCCTCCGCCCATGAGTTTGCCCGCCCAGCCAGCCAGTCAGCCAGATGCAAGGTGGGGGCGTTGCAAATTGCGGCGTTTTGGGGCAGGACAGGTGAGTAAACCGTTAACCCTTCAACGCCCCCTGGTCTGGACCTGAAGTCCTTCGTCCTCCGTCCACCGTCCTTGCTCCCTGCTAGCTGCTCCCTGCTCCCTGCTCCTTCTGCTGCCTGGGATTAAATCAGCTTGGCCCAAAAATAACGCAAGCTTGTCATGCATGCCTGTGTGGGAAGGGGGCGTGTCGTGGCCTGGTACCCGGTGCTTGTCTGTGTAATTTACTATTATTTTTTAAGCACTTTCCTTTTATGCTCCCTCTGTGCTGCTACATACAAGCATTTTTATTGTTTGTTTCATTTGGCATTTTGTTTGTTTTCAGCTGGGCGTCCTTCCGCCCATACTACCCCCTGGTAGGTGGTGCCGGAGACCCCGCAGTTGCACGTGAGAAATTACACATGTCCTCCAATGTTTTCAGCATGTCTGCATGCGATTGCAGCCGGAGTATCTGGATTCGTATTCGCATTCGCATTCGTATCTGTATCTGCATCTGTAGTCGCAATCGTATCTCTGACTATTTGTTTGTTCTCTCATTTCGCTGTTTGTTTGTTTGTTTTTTTTCCCCCTTTTTTTTAGGGTAGGGGGTGCTGCATCTTTTTTGGCCTGGTGCTAGAGTGTGTTGGCTGCCAGATTTATGTTTTGCCAAACGGAATTTGTCTCGTTTGTAGTTTAGTCCCAGCACTGGAATGTCGAGACCCAGATCCTTTGCATCCTTCGCCGCCAATGCCGAACAGCAAATTGATGACCCGAGATTTTCGCTGCAGTTGCAGATTTTTCCCTTTATCCGTGGCCAAATTGAATTTACCGCCGGCCCGGTGGAAACGCTTGCGTAATTATTTCCACGAGCTTTGAGGGTCATTTCGGAATTATTACATTTCCCACCACCCACAAAACAAAGGCTTACATAACGCCCTCTATCGCTCGGACCGCATAAACTGAATTTTAATTTGACTCGCCGCAAAAAAAGCCAACCAGCCTGTGTCGTAGGCCCACCTTTTGGCCCCCCAAAAACTGACCTTCTGCAAAAACAAGTTGGAATTCTTTTTTGTTTACACCCAGGAAGCAGGGCAAACAAAATACTAAATAAGAAATTAGAAACTGGATCTCAGTGCATTGGTAATGCTCTATAAATTTGTAGTTCAAGAAAGTTTGTTTTCTAAACAGGCAATTCTTGATTAAATATTAAAAATCTTCTATCTCGAAGTCAGCTGATGTGATGTGTTCTTGGCAACTGGCCAAGATAGTGCTAAAGATATCAGCAGGGGACTATCTAGTGTTTGTCAAGCTATTTAAATATCAAATCTTTAGCCATGGAAACAATGCTATAAATAGGTTTAGATTTATAACGAAAACTAAGTAAGCAAATGTATTTTTTTATCTTTTAAATATCCAAAAGAAGTAATACTAATTATTGCCTAAGTTTTGTGGTTGCTTCATAACTTACTTAAAGTAAACTTTTCTAACTTTTAAGAAATTAAAATTTCTTTAAGAATCTTCTTAATTACAGATTT